CGCTGCAGAGAAGTCATTCAGGAATTGCCAGCATATCCGCATGCCGGACGGGCACTACATCAGTTTTGAGCAATTCTTTGAGCTGGGCCGTTACACTCCCCAACAGCTTACAGACCTCTGCAGCTTTCAGCAACAACGAGCCTGATCCTCTATACGGCGTGCGATGTGAATCGTCGGTAACTGGCGTGCCAGGTATTTGACCAGATTCTCTGCAACCTTGCAAAATCGCCGTGACTTGCTCCCCCCCCCCCGCCCGATCAACATGGAAACGAGAAGCATCTCAGCTGTAAAAAGCAGCTTCAAAGAACATGTCGGAGCCGCGGAGCCGGGTCCACGGCTCGACGGGGTGGAGTTGCAGCAGCACGAGACAGATTATAACTTGCGGAGGAAAGGAAACGAACTGTCGTAACGATAAAAGAGTGTGTCGATGAACGCATCTGCAGATCACACGACGACTCGCACTACCTTACACAAACCGCGGATCTGCCTGCTTTTGACACTTGTAAGAATTACTGGCAAAGTTCAGCAACCAAAGCGAATGAAGATGTGACACCAGCTGAATGATTGAGACAAACGTACCGGTCACCGCCCCGAACAGACCCCAAAACTGTCCAATGTAAATGTCCGTCAGTAATGGACAGGACAATACGACAGAGAAGTTGCTCCATTAAACTGTTAACGGAGCATGTCACATCAGGCTGTCAACAAATGACTCAATTAAACATTGAACTATGTATGGACAAGCGGCTTTATCAGACATTAAACTATATGTGGATGAGTGGCCCCAATACACTGCTATTTAGCGTCATTTTCGTGATGGCAACTGACAGCTTCCCATCTGCCACCCCCTCGCTTGTCCCACATCGCAAAAGCCGTTTAATCGGTGCACCGAAGTACATCTTCCAGTGGGCTATCCTCACATCTGCCCACGCCCCTAGCACACAGACCGCATCGCATCAAACATCCCTCTGTCTTGGGCGGTCAGGTGTTCTTCACCGCCCTGCTTCACCCGGCACTCAGTGTCACCCGATCTCGGAAGTCTGAGCCGCACGCACGCGCAATCAACTTGCACAACGTGTTTGCAGCTCACGCGGGAGCAGGCGCTGAACTCCACGGTGACGTCACGCCCCGGCTACCGGCCGGCCGCTGGCCTCCTCGTGTTTATGCAGTCGGGTGTTCGCTTCACCGTAGATTTGTGTAAATGTTTGCCGTTTTTAGCGCATGCTCGTCAGTGCAGGCGCCTGCACGACGTGCGGAACATGCAGCGATGCACGTGTGCTGGATTGGGCCGCGGCCGTCGCGCCCGGGCCGGCCCCAGCCTCGTTGCAGAGAACTCAGGCTCTGGAAACTGCGGCTGTTTAAACATGGCTTACTGTCCCTGGACCCGTTTTATGAAGAGCGCTCGGTGACCGCGATCAACAGATACCGTGGAACCGGAGATGGAACTGATGCGTTTGCTGCTGTATGATCTTGCGGCGTCGGCAAGGGGCTTTTCTAATCGTCATTTCTCGTTTTCATATCGTTTGCTAAATCGCGCACATCCCAGCGTTTGGGTTATTTGGTTTGACGCTTATCCGCCGTGGGCGTGAAGTGTAAAAAAGGGCGAGGCCATTTTTTTCAGCTCTGACCCCGATCAGGACGCGGCCACTGACACTGTATTGTCCTCGAACTCGATAGAGGGAACGCTTGATGACAAGCGCTTCTGAACACAGCCTCGATCCGTTTGCTTTATGGCTGATGTTTTCTTTTCGAAAATGAAAGTGCTCTGGCAATATAAAAAATAAGAGGGTGTTTTGGCACACTGAAAGCGTTTCCGGGCTACCCCCAGTCACGCTCCTGTCGTTTCCGGGCTGCCACCAGTCACGCTCCTGTCGTTTCAGGGCTACCACCAGTCACGCTCCTGTCGTTTCCGGGCTACCCCCAGTCACGCTCCTGTCGTTTCCGGGCTGCCACCAGTCACGCTCCTGTCGTTTCCGGGCTGCCACCAGTCACGCTCCTGTCGTTTCAGGGCTGCCACCAGTCACGCTCCTGTCGTTTCAGGGCTACCACCAGTCACGCTCCTGTCGTAGACCACCGTAAGTCCCACAGTCTCCGCGTATTCATTGATGAAGTAGCCAGCTCTGTCGACCTGACATCGCGCCTGACCGAGCGCCCCGCCAGATCCACAGGCATCGTTCCTCTAGCTCCGTCGAGCCTGACACCGCACCGCGCCTGACCGAGCGTTCCGCCAGACCGAGCCATCGTTCCTCTAGCCCTGTCGACCCTGACACCGCGTTTGACCAAGCGCTCCGTCAGACCCCAAACCATCGGTCTTCTAGCTCGCTGGCTGTGGATTGTTCGTGGCCGGATTAGCCCGCCCTGCTGCAGGACAGACTACTCATCCGCTGCAGAAAAAAACAGCGATGCGATAGAGCTAGAGACATCCGAGAGGCTCAACATAAGACAGCGATGCTCACTGTTGTCCACAGAAGTGCAAAGATCCCCCAGGAGCCCGATTCTGAACACAATTGGCTGCGCCGTGTCTGTATATGGGAAACCTTTTAACAACCGCGAGGGTACCGCAGCGTCTTAGAAGTTTCTAGCTGGCACAGAGCGTCACAGCTTATGCGGGGTTTCCATAGCCTGGTCACGATGGCTTCGCACAGCATTTATACAACAATGAAGGAATGCTTTGCTTGAAATTTATGAAGGTCGAAAACACCGATGACCAACGACTTATCGAAATTATTAGCTGGCCGCGCCGCAGCCTGAAGCTACAACTGAAGATGATGTTCCGCAATCAGAAGATAACAGAATTCATATCAGACATGCAATAAGTGAGCAATATTCATATCAGAATTCATATCAGACATGCAATAAGTAAGTCCTACGTTTGCTCACAGGACAGCCCTGGCCTGCAAAGAAATGCTTGCGCCAATGGCACGCGACAGCAAAATACAGTCGTCATTGATCCCGCAGGCAACCGATTCGTGGTAGATGTTGTCTGGTTCACGGATCTTGGCAAAATAAGCGGCAGCCCCTACGCGGCCCTGATCTGTTTGTTTCTGTCTTTTTTATTGGCGCGTCATAAGCGGCTAAAGGCGAATCTTGCAGATTCCTTAAACAGGCCTTCCTGAGCGCTAGGATTAAGGCTATTCCAACTGATCAATGCCCTTTGATGCATTCGGGGTCCTTTCCCGCGGCATTTGAGCATGTTCTACCGCTGCCTGTTGCTTGTCTGGTTGCCACACAGAAGGAAGATGCAGCAGTTCCCTACTACCAAGCGATGCAGATAATAGCGTGCCTTTGCGGGTTACGCTTTTATAATCCGGCGTGGCTGTCAAGGTCTGGCTAGAAATGGCCTTGACATACAACACACGGGAGGCGTAAGCCGATTTTCGTGGATACTAACCGGTATCAAAATTCACTTAGATCAGACCGTAGTATTAGCCTTATTTCTTGGAGACAAACCAGGATAATGGAGATATAGTTGGGTTGATATTTCGGAAACATGCCTTCATCGAAACACTAGCAGAAGAGATGAATGCAGTTATGTATTCCCCGCTAATGCACTGAACAACTTAGGTATGAAAATTTTACGAGCGGTCCGCCAAGCACATCAGCTAATTTCTTAAAGCGTTTCCACAACTTCACACGGTAGCCTCTACAGAATTCACTACCAAGGCGCACGCGATACGAAGCTATTGCATCCATGTTCTCTGCGCCGCGCCGAGCTCTTCTTTACCGGCACCCTCGAGAATGAGGTACATGAGGTACTGCTCCAGCCCCTCCGCGTCAAGTAACGCTTTCCATCCATTTACTTCTTGAGTTTCAGGAACAGGAAGAAGTAAGCAGGGGTCAGGCCAGGCGAAGAGGGTGGCTGCCCGGTCGTGAATGCCCCACGTTCCTAAAACAAACATCGTTGTCTCATGTAACGTGTGGGATGGACGCTGCCTGGTGTGGACAGGCTTAGCTAGAATATGTAGCCTCGCTTAGATGACTGTGTTCAGTCCCGGCCCTCATCATCTTCAGTGCCGGCGCGTACCTTGTGGAGTTGATTGTTTCACCGCTAGGAGCAAAGCCGACGTTGATGATGCCGACTCTCTTGAAGAAAGCTGTGCATACACATGGCCATCCAACGAACGCCCCCGAGTCTGGGCCGAATTGGGATCCTCTCGCCGACCTCTTCCACTCTTGCTTTCACTTTTGGTCATAGAGATGAACTAATATCTCCGCAACAATGATCACTGAGTCCAAGAATTATTGGCAGCTAGACTCGCAATGATAGAGCCCATGCTGCACAACCTTCACCTGCGCATCCTTCTGCTCTAGTGGGAGATCGTGCGGGTGCTGCGGCCGTCAAGGGCACAGTCAAGGTATTTCACAACCCGTCTTTCTTTGGCCTTGCTGGCACTGACACAATCTTTGGCCCTGCTGATGCTGCTGATGTTATAAACGCAACACCCCTTTTTCTTACGAGACCATTCCCTCTGTTCGGTACTTGACGTCAGCTGTGCGCATGCGCTTTGGTGGTCACTTTGCCCAGCCTGTTCTCGACAGTTACGGAAGGCTCACATAGCACGGTCTGGATGTCAGGTTCTCTTTTGGCAAGGGCCCGTTTATGTTGTGGTGCGACGTTCATTAAGACCTCGAAAATCAAGTTATGGACGCTACCTGTTTACTTCCATAGATGACCATTGACAGGGGCATCGATTTTTAAATTATTGGGGGGGGGGGGGAAGAGGCGGCGAACCGAAAGCTTGACAGCCTATCATCCCCCCATCTTTTTCTCACCGGTTTAGCCTACTTCATTGTGGTGAAAGGCAATATCTGCTGCTATTCTTTGCATAGTTTATAAGTCTTTAATTTAAGCAGCATAGAAGTCATTCAAGAGTGGATTCAGGGAGCCGGCACTGGACACACGCATCGCTCCTAATCGGAAGTGAAGGCGTCCCTTTAGAGGCCACCTTAGGGTGCCGATGGCGCCCTTGAGAGGCGGCTCGTATTTTGGTTGTGGGGGACGAGGACGGGGTTAGCCATGAAAGAATTAGGACATCCCACATTCCAGAGCTTTTCATTTTAACCTTACAAACCAACGCGTGTCTAGACCCTGGGTATGTGAAGTTTATTGCATCATTTTTCCACTCAGCTGTTACGATTTGTATCTGGCGGCGAGAACATCCATGGCTTTACGTTATGAGAGTAGTACGAGACGCCGCTACGCAGAAACATTAAATAAGGTAGTCTTTTTGTTGTGGTCATCCCTTACCTACGTTTTTTGCAGCGGTCCAGTCAAATATATTGAGGGATCCAAGCCAACACTGGGAGGACTCAACTCAACATTGGGGGGCTAAGGCCCCCACAAAAAAATACAAACCGACACCAGTTACCACTGATGCCGTACGATCGCGTGCACCCTTGATTGCACTCACAGACATAGTCAAAGCGCATGTATCTCACCAAAACATTCAAGTCAGTGTGCCGGGAACTGCGCTCTGCGAAACGATGCGCTCTTAAGCAAAAACCACCGCAAACTTCGTCGCCCAGGGAGGGTTACGTCCCCACTATGAACGACTCCTACCCCCCGCCATGCAGCATGGTTCACACAAGACGCGCGCAAGGTCCGTGAAACTGACAGCAGCGGATCACCTGAATTGACACACTGATATGGCAGCGATTACGTCACGTTCATTAACAGAGCTTACGGAATCGGCTCCCCGACCCAATCACTGGCGTAGAGGCGGTCTCCCTGAAGGAGCACACAAGCGCTAGCGCTAGCTAGCGGGAGCGCTAGCCGAACAGTGCGTTATCCACGGTGTCGTTGATATGGGTAGCTCCTGGTCACGAATGTCACACAATTTCCACGATTACATCACATACAAGTAACCAATGGGTCACAAGGTGCGACCTCGATAAAACCGGTCAGCTGCAGTGATGGCAGATTCATCAGACGGGTATGTGCTTATAAAGTTGAAGGCAACGCAAGCGTTAAGCTGTCAGTAGTCGCCCATACTGTCAGCCCCTCTTCCTCCACGGCTCTCGCGGCATTCACCAAGCTGTGAGAACTTGCCATAGCTCACAACGTCGCGCAGCAAGACGAAAACCCGGGGCGCCGACAGCACCCACCCGGCGATGGAGCTGGGTGATGGTGGTGGTGGGGAGGGGGGGGGGGGGGGGGAGGTTGTGCGCACGCCTAGAACACGCTGAGATCGGCACGGGGAATGGCGAACGAATTGCAGTCGCGCAAACTGTTAAAGAAGACGGAGGGTTGCCACAGCGCTAACGGCTGTACCGCCTGCAGGCCTTGGATGTTGTCGCAGAGGATACGCGCCCAGCTTGACTGCTGAATCTCGCGTACTTGCCGGAATGACAGACTGTGGGGCATGTCGCCGTTGTCGTGGAAGAACCTGCGGGAGCGATAGTGGTCAGGAGCTGCTGCGACTGCGAATTCATTTGACGGCTCACCTATCTGCACAGGGTTCTATGATCCGATGGCCCTTGAGGGAAATCACTTATGTAGTGGGATGAGGATCTGAAAAGTCGATTTAAGTTCCACGCGGAATAAGCGCCCATCAAAAGTAATCTATGGCGATGACACCTCGGATCCGTTGCATGCTTCATTGCCTCTAAGCGATTTAGATGGCGCAAAGATGCAGCTTCGTTCTAAAAGAACATAAAATTGCAGACTGCGTAATTCTGCCAATGAGCTTTAACCTCTACGACAAACAGTGTAGCTTTAACTACACGAATCGAACTACAATCCAATCCAAAAGTCCATAAGCCACGGATGCCTCTCATCTTCTCCTTACCTGTCCCCGTAACGGGTGACGAAGAACTGCTCGCCGATGATGCACTGGAACACCTCGCCGACCAGTGCACCGGGCTTTCGCTTCTCGGCCACACCACCGATGAAAAGGTCGATGTCATAGATGCTGTCGTAGACCGATTGCAGGCTCTGCAGTACCTTCGGATCGAAGAACGGCGCCAGGGAAGACCACTCGCCGTCGAGCGAGCGCTCCAGACAGTTCTCCAGCGCCGTGACGTAGGTCGGCAGGCCGTGGTCTCGACCGCGGTTGATGTTGAGAGCGATCAGATCCAACCCGGATGGCGCGCCCTGAGCAAACAGCTTCTCGTGCACAGAGGCGGAGAAGGTGTTGTCGACCGAGCGCGGCTTCTGGCGCGTCAGTGCGCGCGCGAATTGCGCCATAACACCCGGTCCGGTGAGTAGGTCGGGACGGAAGAACGTGTCCTCCATGGCCAGGGTCTTCAAGATGCGGCCTGTCTCGCTGCGTAGGATGAACAAGTCTTGTACCTGTGGAAGCGGATGACGTTCGGTCAAAATGGCACGTTCCGCCAGCATGTGCGGCCGTGATGACGCGACGTGTGTAGGTGATTATTTGCTAAGAAAGCGAAATATACTGAAGGAAGGGTGGGTGCCGTGGTTATGACCGTGGCATAAAAACCGAAGAGCAAGCTAATGGCGGTGGCCAGACAGCGACAGGGCACTGAAATGGGGGCGTCCGAAACGGACCGGGCTCCAAAAATGCACACATGACCAGAGAGTATCTAGAACAGATCCGGCTTGCAGAAACTCGAACCTCTAGAAGGGAGACGAGCTCGAGAGGAAGCACTGACCTGTGAATGTCCGAAGCGGAAGGCGGCTGTTGAAAACTCGGACGTAACGCTCGGGTCCACCTGATCCGTGTAGCCAAAGGAGTGACCGAACGCTGGGTCGAGACCATGATCACGCGTGTACTTGAAGCCAAGTACAGTGGGCAGGTATTCGTTGTAGACGACGTTCTGGTACTCGCCGTTGACAATGCGGCGCGCCTCCTGGAACAGCCGCTCGTCGTCCCAGTCTCGGTGGTTCTTCGCCAGCACCGCTGCCACGCGGTTGTGCTCGCGTGTCCAGATGGTGTGCATGAAGGCCAGCCCAGGGTTCTCGCTTAGGCGGCCCTCACCCGAGATGAACCGGCCGCCAACCTGCGGCAGGAGGTTGCCGTCGCTGCTCTTGATGAGGCCACCGGTGAAGGCACGAAGCCGGTCCGCCTGCTCCTTGCTGCTGCCGTAGATGTTGGAGGAGTCCAGGAACTGCGACACCTGGTTCAGCTGGTTGGTCGGACCGGCGATACAGTCCTCGAACGGAGCCGGTTGCGAGCGCACCTGGCTCATGCACTTGCGGCCCGAACTGCGAGTAGAAGGGGTCGTCGTCCGGCACACGGATCGGGTTGCAGCCGATGGGGTGCAGCGGCTCATCGGGGAACGAGTTGTCACTGTTGCAACAAGCCAGTCCCCCGCCGCCCGGCACCGTGAACGCCGCCGTTGAAATCATGTCGTGGTTGATGAACTGGCCAAACAGCATGACGGAGAGCGTGCGGAAGTTGTCGTCGCGCGGGGACGTGTTCGCCACGCGCTGACTGACAAGCCGTGCCGACGGCAGCGGGCCGCCAAGGCCGGACGAGCGCGGCTTGAATATGCCGTCTTCGTACTCAGCCGGGAAGAAACGCGAGAAGGCCGTCTGCGCGCGCCCCAGCCGCGGCTCATCCTGGTTGTTGCATTCGCCATTGAAGGTGCGGAAGTTGCCTGATCCGGCACAGTTGGGGCGCGCGGGCACCTCGCAGCCGGGAATCTTGTCGTCGCCGAGAACGGGGAAGGCGGGGAAGTTGGCGCGGTCCTGCAGACCCACTCCGAACAGTGGTGCCTCGGCGCTGAATGCCTTGGAGCCGACGGCGCGCATCTCCTTCAGCTTCGTCAGTACCTCAACAGACTGCAGCGATGCCTCTGCCGACCGCTCAGCCTCACTCGACTGCGGTCGCGAGAACAACAGCTGCAGGCTCTCTGGTGACCTGGCGCGAGCCCTGTTGGCCCCTCTCTGAGCGAGCTGGTTCACCACCCGCCCCACCTCCTCTAGTCTCTTCTTTGCTTCCGCTACCACTGACAGCTTCTGAAAAGCATAGAGAAAAGTTAGCGTTGAAAAAAAGACCTGCGTCATTGTATGAAAGCCACCGCAAAGGCCTCAAAATCTCTCGAGGTTTTAATAGAACAATGCATATCACCCAGCACTAATCTGATCTGTATTGTCTTCACATGTACAGCCGACTCATGCAAGGTGGACCGCTGGGGACCATTCCAGCGCCCGTAGCATATTTCTGAGTTGAATCGCTTACCACTGGCCGCAAAATCCACAGCCCAAGTAGTTCATGACGGCGGCAGCTTTGAACAGGACTTGAGAACGGCCGAAGCATATAAACCAAAAGCCCTCAGCGGCGAGCCGTACCTGCACAAGGTTGCTGATCACCAGCTCCTGTCGGTCCTTGAGGCGGTTCTTCAGGGGCCGCAAGTCAAACACGCCCTTGCTGCCGGTGATCTCGCCAGGGAAAAAGATGCTCGGAGAGGGCGCCGCCGCCTGCGGTCCGCCGAACCTGCAGCCCGTGAAAAACACATCGTGCTCGTCAGAAACACATCGTGTCGTGCACCAACACCGTGCTCGTCAAGCGGCGAGACGAGTCTGGTTACACAGGAAGAGCTGTAACGTTGTTGGGGATACTGACATGTCTCCTGGGCATGGCCGAAGTCTGACTTGTCGTGGGCACTGAGCATGGCGCAAACCTCTTCCAAGAAACGTTGGATTCTTCGTTTGATGCACGCTGAGCTCGGGCTTTCATACTAGGCCCGAGAGGACAGCCTGTGGCCGGTCTTATCCAATTAGACACACGTAAAGTAAGGTAGGCTAGCAGCATATCACGCGAGCGCAGAGTGGTCGCGTGGAGTCCAGCGTGAGCTTACCTGCTGATAAGGCCGCTAGAGCCGCACAGCACGCCAACGGAGCCGTCACTGAGCGTGCAGAGCCGTCCGGCCGCGAACGGGTCCACGATGGGCTCCTCCTCCAGCAGCTCCTTGCACTCCAGGAGCGGCATGCACACGTCGGCCGCCGCCCAGCCGGCCACAAGGGCCAAACAAGTGACCTAGGGAGGGAGAGGGTCGGTCACATCCACTACCCTTCGGTTCGTGCGTAACCTCTTTAGCCGAACCTAAGGAATAAGTTTGCGCCACAAATCGCGTAACTGCGCAACAGCAGCCACGACAAAGGAGCAGCCGCCCAATGAAGGTACAAACAGAGAGCCTCGCAACCATGCCAAGATTTTCTGAAATTCCAGTGCGTTGACTGGAACGTAAGCTGCGACAAGTCGCAAAACTTGCCGTTGTGTGATCAAACCAGGTCATCGATCTTAATCATGCGATCAAATGCACTGGCACGTGATGTTGCGGGGAGCAGCTTGGGTGTAGCGTCCGTCTGTGTAGAACGGACCTACGGCCCTGGTGGCCGGCAAAGCGGTAAGGGTGCCAGCTAATCTGTAGCTCAGGGTGGTCAGTCATTTCCCGACATCCATGTGAACATGCTGCCTGCAATTCGAGCCAGTTCTGGGAAGACTTGGTCGTGAGACAAGGACAAGTGATGGGCAAACCCGCGCGAGTCTTTAATTGCTCTGGCGCCGCTTTCTGAACACGATGCCAACACTCTCAACGGCATTCGACCCTGGCATTGGTGGCCTGCCGCGAATTGGTCCACCTGAATAAGCGTCGCACGATAAACGACCATCGTGAGGCGCTCACCGTTAGCACAATGGACCCATTTCAGTTGCAGGCGGCATGATTCACACTGTCCTGTTCTTCAGGGCGTTTTGAGAACTTCAACTCCAGGCTAAGACTAGCATAGAGACTCATTTCTATTCATCTACACATCTACACACGCACTTTTCATCTACACACATAACAGGATATATATATATATATATATATATATATATATATATATATGCCCTGCCATGAGGGAGATCATCTGATCCAGATTTAAGTCGGAACAACTGAGATACCAACTCCACCGTTTCAGCACAGCGCCGACCCAGCCGACGCCAGCTGCCCGACAACAGACAGTTCCACGTCTGCAAACGGTTTCTCCTGAATCCCCTGGTGTTTTCACCAGCGGTGACGTCAAATGGTTAAAGCTTCCTGGCGGCTAAGCATGCTAGTCATGACTGACCACGAGCTTCACCCTTGACCGATCATCAAGGTCATTTGATATGACCAAAAAATCACGTGCTGCGCAATAGAGCGCTCTGGCATACGATCCAAGGTTGAAGTAAAACGTCTTCACTGGACGTGAGGGTGTGCGTGAGGTGGTTGTGAGACATTCAAGCTGATATGACGTGCAAGTGGATCGCTATGCAGGCATTTTTATGTCTTGGGGGCGCCATTCCTTCCGCCACAAATGCGACAATAGACGTTCAGTTGCACTTGTACGAAACTAAATCACATAAATGGCTTATGTCAACAACACAAGATGTAGATACTTGAGTTATCAAAGCACAGCAAATCCATCCTTGTGAATACTGCGCGAAGCAGGGGCGTGCGGCATGCTGACACCCCTCAAGCCGCAGGCTACTTGCGGAACCCTTGCGTCATGCAAGTGCAACTGTCTTCGATGTTTCTCTCACCGTTTTGGAGGCATTTGGTTAACTCGTGCAACATATCCCTCTTGCGGAGATCCTATCTTCGCATTAGGTGCGATGCTGAGTGGATTTCCCCGCCCTTCAGCCGTCTAGACACGCTCATTGATCCGTACAGCAAGCAGTACAAGAGCACGGAGGTGCTGTAACCGAAGGACTACCAGCAGTTGGGACGGCTGCTTTGCAGTTGGGACTACCAACAGTTGGGACTACCAACAGTTGGGACTACCAACAGGCTACCAGCACTTGGGATGGCTGCCTTGCACGGAATAAACAACGATCGCATGTGAGCGACGTTCAAAAACTGTTTGTGTCTGTTCAAAGCCAGCGGAACGTAGCATTCCGTGTCCCAACGTCCAACAGCCCGTGTCCTGTGATGTACACGGCGCCGGCTGACGAGACTGCGGCCGGGGCAGACGGGGCAGCGGTCGAGGCAGACGGGGCAGCGGCCGGGGCAGACGGGCAGACGGTCGGGGCAGACGGTGCAGAGGGTTCGGAACAGACGGAGCAGCGGACGGGGCGGACGGGGCGGCGGTCAGAGCGGACGGAGCAGCGGACGGGGCGGACGGGGCGGACGGGGCAAATGGCGGCGGGCGGACGGGGCAGCGGCCCGAGCGGACGGAGCAACGGACGGGGCGGACGTAGCAGCGCCCAGGGCGGACGTAGCAGTGGCCGGGGCGGGCGTAGCAGCGGCCGGGGCGGTAGGGTGGCGGCCGGATAGGACGGAGTAGCGGGCAGGGCGGACGTAGCAGCGCCCAGGGCGGACGTAGTAGCGGTTGGGATGGGCGTAGCAGCGGCCGGGGCGAACGGGGCAGCGACCGGAGCGGACGGAGCAGCGGACGGGGCAGACGTAACAGCGGCCAGGGCGGATGTAGCAGCGGCCAGGGCGGACAGGGGCGGCGGCCGAGTAGAACGGAGCAGCGGCCGAAGCGGACGGAGCAGCGGACGGGGCAGACGTAACAGCGGCCAGGGCGGATGTAGCAGCGGCCAGGGCGGACAGGGGCGGCGGCCGAGTAGGACGGAGCAGCGGCCGAAGCGGACGGAGCAGCAGACGGGGCAGACGTAACAGCGGCCAGGGCGGACGTAGCAGCGGCCGGGGCGAACAGGGCGGCGGCCGAGTAGGACAGATCAGCGGCTGAACCGGACGGAGCAGCAGACGGGGCGGACGTAGCAGCGGCCGTAGTGCACGGGGCAGCGGCCGGTACGGACATTGCAGCGGCCGGGTGCACGGGGCAGCGGCCGGGACGGACGGTGCAGCAGCCAGGCGACACGGCCAGCGATTGCCGGGGACTGGGTGTCGCCGCCGAAGCCGATCACGTGAGGTCATACGTGAGGTGAGATCTTGGTTAGGCGAGGTCCTACGTGAGGTGAGGTCACTCGTGAGGTCAGATCATAAGTGAGGTGAGGTGCTCGAACGCCATCCTGCATGTAACATGCCTTCACTGTCTGTCCCCAGCAAAGCCGCCTTTGCGGCATCCTGGCGTGGCAGCAACCAGCTAAGCCCGTGACGGGATTGTGGCTTGGAGGGCCGCCGGGCGGAGGGCCCGACACGGGGTGTATACACCGCGGAATGCGAATTCGCCGAGATCAAGGATCGCAATACGGGTCTCAAAGACAAAGGAAGGCGCCGCGCACTCGTAAAGCTTGCACACCCGTGATATCTGACTTATA